ACTTAACGCAGAAACAGTTCCAGATAAATACCCATTCCCAAATTTACACGATTTTTCACAAAACTGGATTTGGTTAAGGCATACTAGCAAATTCCAGTAGCGGAAGAATGCTTAAAGAAAACAGCAATTACCACTCCTTTTGAATTTTATGAGTTCACGAGGATGCTATTTGGGTTACGTAATACTGCCCAAACTTTTCAGAGACCTATCGACGAAGTTTTGAGAGAATTGACTTTTGCTTTTGCTTATATCGATGACGTTCTTGTCGCTAATCGAGATAGCAAAGAACACCAAGACCACATACAACAAGGTTTCGAAATTGAATTTTCATGAACAACAAAAATGTGCCACATTAGACAAAGTAAAAGAGGACATTTCTTTACATTTGAAAGAACACCCTGCCCCATTTAGTCTGCGATGTGGGGACTGGTTAATTATGACTATACATACCACCTTCACTGAGAAAAAATATGTTCAAACATTTTCACAACATCTCACATCCTGGAGGCTGAGCTATCGTCAAGTTAATTAGCAATCGTTTTGTCTGGCCCTACATGCGTACTGACATAAAAACTGGACTCAAACCTGTTTAAATTGTCAAAAAATCAAGGTAAACAGGCATGCAAAGTTCCCTTGTAGACGATTTATCAAACAAGACGGTAGGTTCACCAACCTACACATCAATATAGTGGGACCTTTACCAGAAGCAAATGGACATCATTATCTATTCACTAATATCGATCGATTTACAATATGGCATGTCGTTGTTTCCCTGAGGGTTATATCTGCAGAAACAATCTCTAAAAATATCTTGCAGGAGTGGATAGCGATTTTTGCCTGTACCTCAATAATAACTACAGATCCAGGTTTCCAGTTTCAGTCTACACTCTTCGATGAGTTCACAAAGCCCTTGGGAGTCAAGCACATACCAAAACAGCATATCATCTTTGTGCTAATGGCTTAGTTGAACGTTTTCTCAGGCAACTTAAGGCAGCACTAACAGCCAATAACGATTCCAGGACATGGTTATAAAATCTACCACTGGTTTTGTTATCCATCAGAACTGTCATCAAGGAAGATTTGGGATTCACAGCAACTGAAGTGTTTTTAGGACATCCTTGACACTATCAGGACAGTTTTGTGATAAAACAAATCACCTATAGCCAATCAACATCGTTCTTATAAAACTTTAAACAATGAATGTGTGATCTGGTTTTCCTGCCCAGCAGAACACAAACAAAAGACATTTACACGCCAAAAGATTTTCACAACTGCGAATATGTTTTCTTAAGAAATGATGCATTGAAAAGGCTTCTTTGTCCTACTTACTCAGGACAGGAAACTCAGGTATGTTACAATTGTGACAAAAATCAAACAAGATACAGACTCCATAGACAGACTAAAACACTATTTTACACTCTCACCGAATACCAAAGTCTGTGAACCATTTTCCACAATGGCAAACAGACCTGCAAACGTCACTACAAAATCGAGTAGATATGTAAATTGACCTACACACTTTAAAACGTATGATAGATATTGAAAAATATTTTCAATATTTATTAATCTGCGGGTGGGGATGGGTTTTATAGAAGATATAATTTTTCACTTTTAATCCAGGTAGACTGACTCTACAGTTCCAACATCAACCTTCCCTACTGTGGATGCACACAAACAAGTACACGCCCGGACAGACATTATTTCGTATCACTTAACAAGTAAAGAAGAATCCTATTATAATTGTTCTTGTTCCTCCTATAAATGGGTATCCGTTTTGATCGCGTGGAAAGAGGTGGAAAGACACAACTTGGTTTCAGTGAAAAAATGAAAGAAAACAGAATGGAAGTGCTTAACGTTTCCTTCCAATACATCATAAATAATTGACTTACTCCGTTTTGACCGCGTGAAAAAAGAGGAAACGACACTACTTGTTTTCAGTATGAAAAAGAAAGAAAGAAATGTTTAACGGCTGTTTCAGTGAAATGGAAAAAAGTTATCAATTTCAAATATTTTCATTTGTACCTACTTTTTAAAATAACGACCAGCATTCATAACTGTTATTGCGATATTTTGTTAAAGTTGTTAAGCTCAAAACATTTAACAATGCGATGGGGAGAATTTCTACGGATGTACAACTCGTGATGAGCTTATTCAGTCATTAACTTAAGAATTAAGATTCATCAGAATATTAAAATTGGAAAATCGTGAATTTTTCACTAGTTAAAATTAAAAAGTATCGAATAATTTTACTGAATGAACAATAACACAAGACAGACAGATTACAAAATATTTTATAAAAATATATTTTATATCGCAAATATATTTTAAAAATATAATTTCAAAGTAATTAACTGTATGAATTTTATTTTAAGTTAGTTTGAACTTACTAAGTTTAATGTCAACTTAAGAAAAAAAAGAAAAAAGAACTTGACACAGCACGTTTAAAAATAAAATAATAATATGTTTACAAAAATGAATACAAGATCTATTTAAAATTTAAATAGATCGTACTTGAATTCATTTTTGTAAAACATACATTATTTTTAAACAAGCTAGAGAATAAATTTCACTACTCTTCTCCTCATCCTTTCTTCTATCACTCCTATCTGATCTTGCTCTAAATTTTCTGTAACTCCTTGCGTCCTAGTGGCTTCTCGCCTTGCTTAGGGTGAAACGCTTAAAAAAAAAAAAAAAAAAGAAAAGAAAAGAAAAAAGAGCCGGTCAGGTTCTTTAAAAGTTAAGAAATCATTTAACGTAGTTTGACACGATTAAAAAATATAAAAAAAGAATTGAAAAAGAAGTTAATAAAAATATTTTTCAACGGTTTTTACTCCAGATACTTGAAATTTTAACACATTTATTTGAATTATTTATTGATTAGCACTTTTCAGTAAGATAAAAAAAAAGAAGACAAAATAGGCAAAAAGTTCTAAAAATAAAAAACAAACACAAACACGTTTTACTAGCGTGAGGAAAGGAGATGACAACGTTAATGATCACAGCATGATTTTTCACAGGACTGCTGTCGCTAACTTGGAGAGTCTTTAGCTCAGTGAAAAGATTCAGAGAGGTGAAAGGAAAGAGAAATAAATGATAAAAGCAAACTAGCGGTAGACAAACGAGCTCGATGTGAAGATCTCCCAAATTCATGAAGCATTCACTCATTTGAAAAGATACGCTGGGTGAGAAACATGCCGCTTATGTTTGCGAGAGAAATAAGTTCGTAAAAGCGTAGATTTGGAAAACTAGGTTTTAAAATCTTTTACGTCATTTCAACACATGTATCTACACATCTCTATACGTATAGATAGACACACACACACATACATACATGCATACATTCATACACACACACACACGCATATATATATATATATATATATATATATATATATATATATATATATGCAGCGATACATGCACGTATTATTTCACATTCAAACGTTGTTACGTTATTACAGTGAAAACTTCGTATTTGAAATAGACGCCCCATTTTTATTTATTAAACAGTGTGTATTATAGATAGATAGATAGATAGATAGATAGATAGATAAACTATGAAGATAGGGATGAACACTGCATGGTGACTGTCAGTTTCAGGCCTCAATACGTTCTTCAAACCAAAGAAAACAGCATTGAAGACTGAAATTCACAATCACCATGCCGAATTGATCCTTATGTCTACAATGGCTATATTTATAAATCCCCATATTGAACACTCTTACCTTATAAATATTCCTGATAAATATAACATATATAATATATATATATATATATATATATATATATATATATATATATATATATATATAAAATTACGCACATTCAGTGTTGTTGCTAATAAAATAGTGTTCGATGTATAATAAGAGAGCTAAAATTTATATTAATAATAAATATACATTTTTCCTCATCAGTAGCACAATTATGAGTTTCATGCGCGATGCAATCGTCAGATGTAAAAAACTAAATCACCACCGGTCAATTTCATCCATCGCGCATGAAACTCAGAGCTGTGTTACCGGTGAGGAATACACACACACACACACACACACACACACACATATATATATATATATATATATATATATATATATATATATATATATATATATATATTGCAGATACCCCCTGAAGAGTGGACGGGCAGGTCCGCTTACGAAAATTTGGAGTCGAGTATAATTGGAAGAGAAAAATACCGTTATTAAAATTGGAAGAGAAAAACACCGTTAGTAAAATGTTAGAAATGTTAGAAATTGCAATCAATGCATAACAGAAAATTTAAAACTTACAGAATTTAAGAGGGAATATTTTAATTAACATAAGAAGAGTGACGCATTCCATTCAAAAAACATTTCTTGAAAATTTGCTAAGCGTGAAATGGCACTGTTAATGAGTAATATATATATATCCGAATGTAATGAGAACGAAAATAATATAAATTCTAACGGTCACAACATTAATTCAAAAGAGGGCTCAATACCAAGAGTAGAGCAATAATTATTTATTATAATTTTTACATACGGACAAAAACAACTTGCTCACTACAAAGGTGCATTCTTGTTTCGATGCGACTGCATCTCGACTGGTGAGAAGCAAAAATGCTTATGAAAAATTCTATTTACAAGCAAGCCATAGGGAGAAAAAAGAAAAGCGAGAAAAGAGAAGAAAAAGAAAGAGGGTGACCGAGTAAGATTATTATTATTTTAACATTTGGATTAACATTAATTTGTTTGATTGATTGATTTTTTACGGTTCAACCCATTGCAGATTATTTAAATCCCGAAAAATATTTGTAGATTTTAAGAATGTTTTGAAATAATAATGATTTATTGATATATATCATACTAATTAACCCATAGCTGGGGGAGAAAAGGTAGATTCATACTTTTCCCAAGGGTATTTGCAAGTAAGTGAATATAACGAACCCGACTGGAATTGGAAGTTAGCACTCCGATTTCCAATTCCGAGCCGTTATCTATTACACCACCCGCACATCCAAGATTACAGCACCTGGTATTCCCAAGAGTTCACCCATCTAGGTACTAATCAGGCTCGGCGTTGCTTAACTTCGGTGATCGTACGAGAACTGCTGTTTCAATGTGATAAGAAGTCAACAAGAGTTTAATACTGCTCATTCCTGTAAATCATTTTAACATCATTCTAGATTTATATAGATTGTAAAGTGAGGGAACGAAGAAGAAAAAAAAATCAAATGAAGTATGTATTCTCATCGATAAAATCGATACGAATTAAACTTTTCGGCAGTTAAATGTTAGAATTAGTACAATTGGACAATCAAAATCGTGAATGTTACTAATTCAAATCCATACCGATCTCTTGTTTGTAAAACTCCGAGCTTAATGTGAATAAGTAGTGAAGACAACACAAACGGCAGGACCACGAAGGATTACTCGCTTTAATGCGTTTATGATAAACAATTCAATGATTTAATGATACTGATAAAAGCGGCTTAAATCAATTTAAAAATACAATTAAATGTTGTTTACTTGTTAAATGCTGAAACCTGTGATCTCCTCATGAGGCCTAAAGAGTCTCAACATGGTGGAATTACTAGCCGTACGCCCAACCATCTAAAGCGCTATAGGGAGCCCGCTCACCTTTTGATGAAACTGAAAACTAAACAGAACACTTTGATTTCTTGGCCTCAATTTATGACATCACTATTGAGCGGGTCTATATCATTTGTCTAAAACCATTACTACTACTACTACCATTTAATTTTCAAAATAAACTAGAAAACTTGAGTTTCCGTTTTTTTTATTGTTTTATTTTTTAACTAGCTTAGCTTAGCTTCTAAAAATTTTATATAAGTTGTATATGTGGAAATAGTCTACAGGTCTCATTCCAGAAAATAAGTACAAATGAAAAGAAAAAAAAATGTATCTTTAAAATCAACACATACAAAAAATATATTTACAGCAGCATAACAGATGTAAAATATTTATTTTATGATTAGAGATCAGATAAAAAAAAATATAGAATCGGGAATCTGACTTACCCCCCCCCCCAACTACTTTTAACATACCCCGACATTTTATTTTGTTGCACCAAACCTGACAATCGGTTAACTTTCTCACAGCCAAGAAAGCCCAATCTTTTATATTTTACCCATACCTGGGAGAGAAAAGGTAGAGTCATGGCCTTCTCAAGGGTATTAGTAAGTAAATGCAACAGACTCGGCTTGTGGGTTTCATTTTTTGGCTGATAACCGGTACGCTACCCGAATATCTACTTCCGTTCCTTTTTTTTTTTTAGAGTAAAGGGATATTTGGAAAGAAAGAATGTCTATCTTGGTTATCTACAGTCTCCAATACCTATAATAGGCGTTAGTATGTCCGTGATATACAAACACCTTAACACAGCGGAACGAAGGACCAGAATATATGAAAGAAATGAATGCCAAATATGCACTGGGATCTAAAAGATTTTATATACATATATATCATACAAGAAATTATATTACAAATATGTATATACATGTCCCTATTTGTCCCACACAGAGAAACTATAACATATATGAATAAAACAAGCAGTGTGAAAGGGAAAAAATCGAGAGAGTTTTATTTGTATTGCTTCCCGGAGGAAAACGGCCAGGCTGAGTAATGTCTTTTATGTGTCTTGTTTGGACCACATATCAATATCAAACATAAAAATAGTGAATTATTTACAGTATTTTTTCGAAACATCGTATGAGCAAAACAAATTCACGGATTTGAACGAAAAAAAAATAGACCCCAGAATAATAACAAAATCCGCGAAATTTTTTCATCTTTTAATAATAGTCAGTTGTGCATAGTTTAATTTGTAAATTATATAAAATTAGGTAGAAAAAACAAACTAGTGTTGATAAGATAGCGAGAGTCACAAAGCATTGTCCGGGATCACATTCAAGCTTGTTCATACACATGGTCCGTGTTGGGGGCGGTTTAGTACATCGTACATCGTTTTTTAGTATGTGCATAATGATATAGTTATTGATTGCTTTTAATTAATTTCGGCTTCAGTTACTTTCATGCCGCCGTAACGTAGCTTTCTTGTGTCATTTCTATAATTTTTTTTCATGGTCTGGTGAGCTTTGGTACCTCGACTTTAAGAATTTAAGCGCAGTACTAGATTGGCTGCAAGGTCCCATCTTTTTACAGTTGAAATGGTTAGATGAAACTGTAAGTTGTATGCTAACAGTTTGTTCAATAGTACTTCTCGCGTGTGGAACTTTTTTCCGGCTTCTTGCTTCCCAATCAACTTTGATCTTCAAAAACTTAATGTCAATCATTATCTGTTCTTTTATTTAATAATATATATTTTTCACATTTTCTCTAACACTCAGTAACTCCTTGCGTTTTAGTGACTTTAATACTTTGCTTGGAGTGAAATGATTAAAATAAAATTTATATACATAAATTTTGTCATGGGTCATAAACAACAAATAACCTCAAAAGAGAAACAAAAATCATTGTGTGATATGAACAGAACGTTGGAAATTGTGAAAAAGTCGAACAAAGATCATAGAACAATCAAGAAAATAAATTGAAAACATTGACAGAATAATAATAATAATAATAATAATAATAATAATAATAATAATAATAATAATAATAAAACTTGCGTTAAGAATATCACGAAAAAAATTGCGGAAAAAATAAAAAAGGTAAGAATCAGGAGAACTGGATTAAACAGCAAGAAAATATTTAAAAAAGCAACTGTAGTGAATATAAAGAGAGAAAAGATGAAGATTATGAAGAACACTGACAAAGGACATGAAAGCAAACAAACTACCATGTTTAAGCCAACATCATAAATGGAAACATGTAACTTAGGTAATAAAGTCAATGGAAACTTATTTCTTAGCAGTAATTTTTACTGATGAATGTAGAGCTACACTGGTTGAACCTGACAACTGTGCTAGAGTTTGGGACCGTTCTGTAAATAGTCAACCAACACAACTTAGAAGACAATAGGATAGATGCAGATAATGTTTGGAGATAATATTGCCGAAAGTAAAATTATAGGTCCCTTCAATGTTGATGTTAGTGACAAGATAAAAACTGAGTATTATTGTAAATTATTGAACAATACGTTTTTTTCGTAGAACAGGTCACAACCGAAAAGTCTTAGCCTAAAACGTATATTCACGCAAAACAATATTCTTTCACGTTCGGCAAAGCTGACTATTGCCCACCTTCTCAAACACAGAAAGAAAAGGCTTCTTAGACACTAAATTAACTGAATGATCAATGGTCACTCCAGATATTGAGATAACCGTAATTTTTAAAATCATTTCGCCTCGGGCAAGGCCAGAATGTCACTAATATACTAGTATGCAGGATGTTACAAAGAGTGAAGTCGAGAGAAAAGACTGGGTATAATGTGGGGACCGAGGAAAGGATAAAAGCTGAACGGGGTTCAAGAAGATAGAAGATGGCGGTTGACGTTGCAATTGAATTTTTGAAGATTGTAGTTATCAGAGAAGTAAAGCAACGGAAGGGAGTTCCACAGGCGGGAAGTGCAGGAAAAGAAACTGTTGAAGTAGAAGTTGCGGTTATATTTAACTAATTCAACAATAAAAGTGTAGACCTAGATGCCGATCTAGTAGCACGATTAAACTCACTTAGTCCGGACACCAGGGAAAAAAGCTTGTCAGAGTAATAACCATAAAAATATTTGTAGAAAAGATAGAGGGAAGCCACGTCACATCGGTGAGAAAGTGACTGAAGTCGAGATGCCAAGTCAGGATTGATTACATTGCAGATTCTTCTTTGGAGTTTGCCAAGAACCTCGAGATGAGTAGCAGGAGCACCAGACCAGATATGGCAACAGTATTCAATGCATTGACGAATGGTCGATTCGTAAATATGCAAGACGGACTCTGACAAGAAAAACACTCTAGCACGACACAGTGACGCAACTTGTCTTGTAGTATTGGCGGCATTGTCGCATCCATCCTTTTACAGTTTAAATTGCTATATATAACTAAAAGTTCTATACTAATAGTTTCTTCTGTCGCACTTCTCACTTATGGAACTCTCTTCTGGCTTCTTGGCTTACAGTAAACTTTGATCTTCAAAAATTTAAATGCACTGTTAATCCTTATTTATCTTTTTAATTTGTTCGTTTATTGTTCTCTCTCCTTAATAATGTTTTTCTCATTCTCTAATGTTCAGTAACTCCTTGCATCTTAGTGGCTTTATTGCCTTGCTTGGGGTGAAATTATTTAAAAAACAAACAAATTAAACAATAAACATGTTAAAATATGTATATGAGAACAAAGAAAAATATTCAAGTAAAAATATCTCTTGAAAGCAGCTGCAAGTAATGTTAAAATCAAAACATCGAAAAGGTAATTATAATCAATGAATGAAAGAACGATGAAGGTTATAGAATGTCAAGGGGTCCATATTAACGTGTGAAATAATAAGGTAAAAATTTATTATGGTATATGGTGTTAATCAAGTATACGTTTCCAAGGCTTATATATTTTGGATTTAGTTAAAAATAACAATTTATGTTATACTTTATCCCCGTGATAAAACCTCACATACTCCAAACAATTTATTATTAATATTTAAAAAAAAAAAAATTAAGGATAGATGCTATAAGCCAAAAATTGCACGGTACGGTATATATATATATGATAAAAAGAATGATTCATATCAATTTTATTATGAAAGCTTTGACTTGCATCATAAAATCTGACAGTGTATTAATTATAGATTTGATCAGTTTATTACTTAATAACAATAGAAAAACGATCCCCCACTTTATATCCATCAGAAATTTCTATTAATATTTAACGTAAATATATCTTGAAAACAGTCCAAACTTCGGTTGTTTCACGCCCAATTTTATTGTGAAAACATTGATTTGTACCATAAAATCTGACGTAGTGTAGTGATTGTGGTAGGGATCGATTTTAGCGGATCGGATTGAGGAATCGGAGAGCCGAGTTCGAATTCCAGTCGAATCCATTACATTCACTTACGTGCTAATACCCCTGGGAAAGATGTGAATCCGCTTCTTGCTCCCACTAGCTATGGATAAATATCAGGACAGATCGGGTTCTATAGCCTTGGGTGGCAAC